TATTCTACCTTTTTCATGTTGATCTTAACGACGACACACCAAATCTCCCTTTGAAACCGTCGTTTGTAGACGAAAACAACAGAACGGGAACTAGTACACATCTTGACATAATGCCTCAGGTACATACATTATATCTGCAGGTAAGCATAGTTTATTGTTGTTAGCCTATCTGTTCAGTAAGTTTTATACATGTAGCATTAAAGTTATTTATTGAAAAGTAATATCTTTAATATTAAAAAAAAGAATCAATATGTTTAATAAATTGTAGACAAAATATATTATTATATATGTTAATTTTTAATAAAAAAAATCAAATGTTTGTTAAATTATATTTTCAGCTTGTACCAGGACCGCCGTTTGTATTTGGTGCGTTACTTGTGATCTGCGCGCTATTAGTAGCCGCATTTATTCCTGAATCAAATACAATGTCAACAGGATCGTTGCATCACCCATCCACTTCCCGGAGGCCCTCCGGTAAATACGCATATCAGAAATGTACGTTACAGGTTGTCAAATATGCTAAAATGCCAAATATGTTTATGGTGATGGGATTCATCGAAAAAAATTGTTTTAATTATAATCTCTATGGACTTGAATGAGCAATATGAGCATAATAAGATTTATGCGAAAAAGTTTTACTTACAAAAGTCGTGAGATACATGCAGCAAGTTTTACAAATACCATGTTTTACTTATTTAATTGAACAATGTAAGGCTCAAAGTGCTTATTATTTTAGGTTTGTCCTTGGACGTTCAATATGAGGCAGACCGAGTAGGAAGTGGAAGAGGAAAAATCGGTCCGCTATCACCACTAGTCGACAATTGTAACTCCGCCGCGCTATAATGTCTATTGAAAAATGTAAGACGAGCCATATAGTACACGACGAGAATACTTTAGCCAAGCGGTAAAACTTCACCATTAATCAGAAGTGAAGAGATCGTTACTATGAAATGCACCTGATTCGATCAGCGACTGTAATAGAGTTGTCTATATTGTATTATACTATTTGTTTAAGACAGTAACTAAGCTTGATTTTAGGACTTATCGATGGAACTTAATGTTTAGGTTGTGACAAACAATTTGCACAAGCAGTGCTTGTGCGATAATACCGTGGGTTGATCTCAGAGTCAAGTATAATCGTGTAACTACAAGTGTGTTATGTTGCAAAAAACGTAACAACGTTACATTAGATCTTCCTTTTCAAGATTCTTGCGCCGACTATTCAATCAGATGTAACAATTTTATGCGAAGTAAAATCAATGACTCTTTATGCAGCTCGCCAACGGCACAAAATGATACATCAATGAAAACCTGTATTTTACTAGTTATCTTATGAATATTTGATCCTTTACTTTGATGTCGTATCCTTTTCTTTTGTTATTAATTTATATTATCACATTTTATATCAAGTGCTAATGTAAATTGTGCAATATATTTTTGCATCTCCGTACATTCGTAGCACTAGAAATAGCTTTTACACATTCCTTGTAAGCATAATTTTTGTATACAAAAGCAGCATTAATTGACAATTGAAAAGGATGCAAATTCTTTAAATCGTATTTTCTTTTTGTACAAGTATGATATAGTAATTATTACTTATCATTCTTGTCATAATTTATCTAATGTTTATAGATCATGCGACTTGTTTCTTTGTGCACAAACTATTTATTTTAATTCATAGAAACTATAAATATAACGAGAAAGGCCTCAATGCTAGAAACAAGTTATACAAAGTGATAGTTTGTCATTTAAAGACAATGGTAGACATTAACACTATGAGTAAAATGAAATATTAAATTATTAATTGAGAATCAATAGTTCTCTTAAATTATGTGTGTTATAATCGGAATCACATTGATGTTAAAATGAGAAAAAAAAGTTTTATAATAGAATAGAATCTTGTATATATATTTTGCTTCTATTTTACAAAAATATCAAAACTTAGGAGAATGTTTTAATACAGTAGTATTCATTTATATACATATAAAATTTTGATTATTTTTTTGATGCGATTTATCTTTAATTTGTGTTATTATTAGTATGATTATGTAAAATACCAATATTTTTGTGTTTACACAATACAACCATTTTAAACTAACTTGTAGGAAACGAGAAGTATTTTTTTTCTTTTTTTTTTTTAGTTATTGTATTGAATTGGATCTTAAAGTCATTATGCTCTTAAATTCGATTAATCTCGATAAAAGTCAAAGAGTAATTAATGACAAATGCAAAATAGTCGAAAAATAATAACAATAATGTGCAACGCGTCCTTACCACAAATTAATTTCATAAATTTTGATATTTGCACACGTTTGTGATTATCTTTCGGGAAAAAATTCGAAGCTACATCAATTATTTGATGGATATTTATTGGATGATATTAATACTGAATCGTTTTATAAATAAAAGTAATAAATATGTATTTTATACATATTTAATATTAACTCCTTTTTTACATAAGGCTGTTTAAAACAAAACAAGATATTAAAGGTTTCAGTCGATATGGCTTATAATCTTTGTCGAATATATTGAAATTACGTGCGTTTTCTAGAACATAGCTGTATTACAGTAAAGTATTACAGAACGAAGTAGAAATCGTGAGCAGGTGCATGTATACAGTGCAATTACGGTTCTATAGTTTCTGTTTGTATTTCCTTAGAGTTACTTACGAACTCGCTCTCGTACACTGAAGCAAATATATACAATTGTATTATAAATATACAAAACAAGCAGGAATATTATAATATTAAGAATAAAACATAGAATAAGTCTTGACTCGATCACGAGTTAAGTAATGTATATGTATAATGTACGATGAATGCATTAATAAAAAGTAATTATTTTTAAGATAAAAGTATCACTTGTGCAAATTTCACATTTATGCGATATAAAATATTAAACTATATATATA